TCCTCATGGCTGTGTAAATCTATTGAAATTGGGTAACAAGAAGTCCATTTGGGAAGACCTGAGTAGAGAGGTAGCTGAATCTTCGACGGCTCTTCTGTAAAGGCTAGACCAGCAAAACAGATATCTAGGTCTAGTACCTGGTCCTAGTAGCCAGACGGGCAAGAACCTCTGGGTTGAGAGTCTCGAAGGTACTACCAACCAGGCTGCTGGAACAAACTGGAGGAAAAGTATATTGGGCCAATCCGATATACTAATGAACTGTCATAGTCCTATACAGGCTATTTAGATTAGGAGTCTGGTAAAAAGGTGGGGGAAAAGGCAGGGGTATACTAAAGTACTAGGATTATGCTGTGAAATAGATGCTGGGGTCTAAGTGAACTCTACAAGGGTATAGCAGTTTAATGGTTAGCCCTAACTGCAAGTGTTGGTTCTGCCATAGTGATACCTAGATCAGCTATTAAAATGGGTACAAAAGGCTCTAGAGGGTTTATCTCGAGAATAAATTAGTCCTAAGGTTACGGACGATGATCTGGTATATCAGGATGACCAGTAATATTAATACAGATTACAGATTTAGAGTATTTAAAGTGAAACACCCAAGCAGGGGTGTTAGGTATGGTAATTGATAGGGAACCTTCAGGTGGACTCTTAAATAGATAATATAGAAAAGTTATATATGTAGTCAATTGTATACTCTCCTGTAGTAGTTCATTGAACCACAATACCAACAAATGATTAATAAAAGTCAAAAGACCAAAGAGGTCACCTTAATACCAAAAAAAAAAAAACAAAACAAAAGTATTATAAAGTACTAGAAATATATTATAAAGTAGATATTAAAATATAAATAAACTTTACAAAAACAAGTTATTATTAATAGTTTATAAAATAGATAGATAGTTAATAAGAAAAGTTTTTTGAAGTTTATTAACAAGTATTATATTCTAAAATATGTAATAGCCTAAAACTAATTCAGAAAGAAATAATACTGTACTGTTTAGTTAATATATATTAAGAATATATAGAAGATATAATAGTAGTTAGATGATTAACAAGATAGATAATCAAATAATTTAAATAAATAATCTTCTAGTATATTATAAGCATAGCATTTAGTATAGAACCTTAGAATGAACTACTTAAATAGACAACCAAAAGTTATATATATGATTTATTGTATTCTTATCTTTGTAAAATTAGATATAATACAAGCTTTAATATATTAATAAAATAATCACTATAAAATATAATTTTTAAAAATAAAATCAATAAAAAATTAATAATAAAATTATTATTAAAAGCATAATAACTTAAAGTATAATAAGTTGTTAATCTTCAAGTGATAGGTTTAATATTTAAATCTTATTTATAATGAAATCTAAATATTATATTTGTGTTATAATAACTGTTTCTTATTAATTAGTTAAATTTATATATCTGTAATCTTAGATACATTAAGTTAAATTTTATTTAATATTAGAAGCTTAAAGTATTAATTCAAAGTGTAATATTATATATATATATAAAATTCTTAATAACTAGTATTGTATAATATTTTAATACAAACTTATTATAAAACTACCAAATACAAAAAACTAAAAAATTAAAAAACAAAAAACTACTTAAAAATTTTTAAGTAAAAAAGTAATACAAACTTTTTACAATATTATTAAACTAATAAAAACTTATAAATATTCTTTAAAAAAATTTTTAAAAACTAAATAACCAAATATATAAAGAAATATATAACTAACGGACTATCAGATTTTGGTAAAAAAAAATACTAAGTATATTATACTAAGCTATCAAGATTGGTAGTTTGGCAAAGTTTAATTAATATTAAATTAAAGAATTATAGAAAAAAGATCAAAAAGATAAGAATTGAGATTTAAATAAATTTTATAAGAGTAAAAATAATGTAATATAATAGTTCAACAAAATATTTGTAATTGCAAATATTAGTCTTGCTATAACATGTTATATAAAACTAGATTAACTATATGTAAAATATAAAAAGTTCTAATAATAATGCATTTAAAAATACATTGTATAAAATAAAATATAATATATATTCTAAAGGTATAAGTAAGCATTTAGAACTTTTTGTTTAACATATGTATCAAAAATATTCTAATAATATAGTAAGAATTGCAATATAAAGAGTTTAAATAGGTAATGCTTCTAGTTGAATTGCAGATATAACAGTGTAAAACTACTTAAATTAGACATCAAAAATATATGTATGACTAGTTGTAAAAATAATTTTATTGAGATCTCATCAGTAAGTTTCTATATTCAAAAATACTAAATAAAAAACCTCAGTTTCAAAAGAGACTAGTTTAATATAAAATAATAATAATAATAAATAAAATTACTACTGTATATCAATATATATAATTTTATTACATAATTAATAATATTTTAAAATGATCTACAAAAATAACCAATCACAGAGAAAGCTTACTATGTTCGATACTGGGTAGTTAAAAAGATTCAATATTACGTAACCAATACATCAAGCACTAACAAATTCATATAACTTAACAAAAAAAATTTAAACTAACAAAAAATAACGATAAGTGATAAATTAATCATTTTATTTATTTCAAATAACTTAATAAATGTAATATTTATTACAGCCAGAAAGTATTACGATTACGGTTTTCTAAGTATTTGTAATATTTCATTGTCTTTTAAAATGATTATAATCCAATTTATGAAATGGCACAAAGTTTTTGTTAAATTATCGAGCAATTTGTTACTATTTGTTTTTTTCTTCAATAATTTTTTGTTGCTGCATTCTGGATCTAATAAATAATCAGAGTTATAATCTTCCGAAAGAGCATTAAAAATAAAATCTACAAGGCTTTCTGGTGCAATTGCATTTTCTTAATTAGTTTTTATAACTTTATTTCAATTTTTATTCTTTTTTCGTTTATTGTTAGTAGAAATTTGGTTATGGTAGTTAACATATACAGTATTTAGAATTGTGTTTATTGGATCTTATGCTTTTCACTTTAAAGAATCAAAGAAAAAAAAACACTAAATCAATTATGCTAATATTTTAGTAAATAATTATTATTATCATGATCTAATCATAATGAATTAACAATATCACATGATTTTCGAAACTTTTTTGGGTGGCGATTTTACTCCAGTCGAAAATTAGCTCAAGAACAATTTTTATTTAATAGACGACTGTAATTTCATTAGCAAAATTTTCAGTAATTCTGGTCAAATTTTTTGATTATTGCTGTTAGCCAATCAAAATCGAAAATATGCCGTGACAATATTATCGCGAAAGCCAGAGTTAATGGATATTACGGCATTGCGCAAAAGATTTACAGTAATTATATGCTATGCTGTAACTATACATGTCATAGAAACATTGCTTTTTGATATGAAATGTCTGAGTTATTTCAGAAATTTATATTAAAAATCAATGCTGAAATAGTTTCTACGACATGTATAGCTGTAATTAATTCTACCGCGTGGTAAAATGCCGTAATTCAGTAATTCTACCAGCAACTATAATTTGATCCTAATGTGTTATTTCTTCCTGTAAGTATACGGTTTGTAACAGAATCATGTTGTGCCTACAGTACATTAAAATTGAACTAAGCAACCAATAAATAGTTATAAATCATTGTGTAATATTTACCTGAAAACCACGAATTCTAGTAGAGGCGTTTTTTTCGATATCATTAAGCCTTTTAGTGAGCATTTCATCTCCCAAAATTATACACTCGACCACTTTTTTGTAAATCAATCTAGGAAAATAGTAAGAAATTAAACATTTGTATGACAAAATTTCATGCAATTTTTCGTCATCTAATGTAATGGACGAAGTCACAGTGTTCTACGATGTGAACCATCTGTAGCGGGAGTACCGTGCAGGAGACGAAGTCCCTACCGCCTAGACAAGTGTGAATGGTCTGTAGTAGGAGTACCGTGCATGAGACGAAGTCCCTATGGTCACAAGTGTGAATGGTCTGTAGCAGGGGTACCGCCTAGACAAGTATGAATGGTCTGTAGCAGGAGTACCGTGCAGAAGACGGAGTTCCTACAGCCAATACATTTTTTACCTTAAACTGTTTCTTTAGATATTGCGCCTTTCTCTTATTCTTTTTTGGTCCCATTTGTTATTAACCATTCGACTTGATCATTAAAAGCTCGTATTACTGTTGCTTTATTTGGTGGGTTTGAAACGTTATTTATCCAGAAAATAAGTAGCCTAGTGGATCCCAATCATGCACCAAAGTTTGAGCAAAGCAACCAAATCCATCGTCGTTTTCAAGAATATCAAACATCTTAGTAATCTTCATGCTAAGAAAAAAATAAGTTTGTAAAAAAAAAATAAACACGTCATATAACGCGTCAGCTGTATGGGCCGGGCTAAACCCGGGAATTTGCGGGTCGGGCCGGGCTTGGGCCTAGTTCGGACCTGCATTGGCTTTTTGGTCAGACTCCGATCACAAAAAATGTGATTATTGCTGATTGGTTTATTTATTTAATACAGTATTAGCATTTAGGGCTTCGTAAAAATAACAACTTTTTATTTATTATAGTCTGAAACTTTATATTTTCGACAAGATCTTGGCTTCAAAGATCCAATATTCTTACTAACGACAATGTCAAAGGTTAAACCACGTAAAAACACAGGATTGTGTACGGTATGTGGCAAAGATCTTAAAATAATACAAGAATGGTTTCGGTATTGTTTTCACGTTTATATTCAACAAAAATCGCTTAAATGATATCAAAATAGTTTTATTTGATTCTAAATAGGTTTAACTTTCACTAGCAACTTATAGTTGGACGTTCGTTTAATTGGCTTGTTTGAGTCAGTCGCGTAGGCAATTTATTTACACACTTTAAAGTACTTTTTTTGAGACATAACGTTTTATTATTAAAGAATACAAATTTTGATTATTTTGTTTAACGTTAATACTATATTTTATGTGTTAATTAATCTTATAGAAGTTAATTGTCAAGGTTTGGTTAATGATCATGTTTTCTTGTAATACCGGAATACATCAATCTGATTGGATGCTAAATGACACGCACTGAGTACGAACGTTTCTTACAAATTATCTCATTATAATGAAGCCTTATTAAAGTAACGATTTACTATTATAAAAATGAATTCTTCACGAAATATGAATTTGCAAAGATTATGTTATAAAAATTTAGAAAGGGGTACCCTTATGTCCAGAAAATCCCGGGCTGAAGATCACTTCCGACCCTATCCGGATCCAATAAAATCACAGGATCTTGTGTAACAAAACAAACGCGAAAAACATAAGAAATTGTAAAAAAACGTAAATAACACAAAAAATTTACTATGATAACTAACTTCTGACTCTAAGTAAAAGTTTTTAGAATGAAATTTTACTTATAGGACACAATTGTTAATGTTAGATATATAGTGAAGTTTTGAGATACTACGACCCATATTCTTTTGGCCGGCAGCTCAGAATTTTCTGGACATAAGGATATCCCCATTAGGGTGGTACACGGCATATTTAATCAAAACTATGTAAGGTAATTATGTAATTTGTTATATTGCAAATTTTTTATATTACACAAATGAAGATTAAATTTTAATTTTATCATTATGTGCTATTACTATACATTAAAGCATTTACATATTATTTTTATTTTCAGTTAAATAAATTATCAAATAATAACTTTATTTTTTTTTTACATTCATTATCTTCAAGATTTTCTTTCTTCAAACTTTATTTTTAGATGCAGATTTTATTTGTTGATGTTTTTTTATTTTAAGTTCTGTTAAATCAGAAGAATTACAATCAATTTTTTTAAGTATCATACTTGATAACCATAGTTTTGATTGCTGAAGATCACTTGTTATATTCAGATGGGTTTTGAAATCTTATTTATTGAATGAATTGCAATATATCAAATTTGATTTTTGACAAAATTAAATAGTTTGGAAAATTGATTTAAAGACTTCTTTTCTTGAATAAATTAATAAAATTTATAATTAAACATTGGATCTTTCAATGCATTTGATAAATCAAAGTTATTGAATTCACTATGCTTAATATTCTGCTCAATAAATTTTATATAGCATAGTTTCCATAATGAAGATACAGATTGCTATAACATTCCTAAAACAATGTAAGCAAAGTTTCTTGTAAATTCTTGTCCATATTTTTTATCCAAGTAACATATATTTAAAAGCAAATATAACCAACAATTTAATCACTTTTGATAAAGATCTAATGTCTTCTGAGTGTTATATTTAAGACCTAAAATAAGATTATTTAATTGATTATTATCTAAAATATTTGTATTTTCTAATAATTCTTTTTTAAAAAAAGAATATAAATCTTTAATAATATTTTGAAGTTTTATTGTTAAATGTATTATAAAATCGAGCAACTCTTTCCGTAGATCACTTATACCAAAAACACAAAAAAACATTTAATTATTTCTCAACATTTTACTAAGTA